TATACACACGGTCTAGTCTCTCGCACGTCCCATCCATCCGTACCCGACGGTTACCCTCCCTCCCCCCCCCCCTACAGACATAAATACCCAGACTCGTACGGAAAACATAACAATAGAAAATAAACAAAAACACACACACCACGAGTGGATGGGGTGGGACACGCTGTACCCGCGACCACCACATAACGGCACGCGTCTCCCCCACCCACCCACAAATTCCCCCTCATATATATATATATATATTCGTTTTATTTACAGTTCCTTTGCCTACCAATAACTATGATCCTCATCGTTTTCGTTATCCACACAAAAAAAAATATACAGCCCACAGCACATAAGTGCATTAAAGTGTCGCGTAATGGATAGTTTTCATCTCCTTCTCTTCAAGCACAAATCCACGAACACGGTGAATCTCGTCAATTTCCTCGTCCACAGACAACACGCGTGCAACCCAGCCGGCATTTTTCACGGTCAGCGCATTGATAACAAGCGGCGGCGCATCCTTCTCTGTCGGACCCACAAGATGCAGGGCACCGTCAAGGTCAAGACTCTCAATGCGTACGCGACCCTCGACGAGCAATACACTCCGTGAGCTCACCGTTACCTTGTCAGGATGCGGGAGAAGTCCTTGTGTGATCTCCTCAAGTGAGGACCCCATCGCCACAGCGTCCGCGACAATGATGGGAAAGAGCTGCAGCTTCAAGACAGATTCCACCTCCACGACGCAGTCATCATTTGGATGTGCCGGCAACTTCAGTCCGACAGCCTGAAAACGGAGACGGAGGGCCTCATAATACTCTTCTTCGCCTGTTGCTGCGCAGTACGCCGCAAGTCCCTCAGAGGCCTTCTTGATTCCTTCCTGCAGCGCATTTTTTACCGGCTGATACGTAAAGCGACTGAAGGTGACGCCACCAACACGCGTTTTTGAGGAGTCAAACAGGAGTGCAACGTCCTGCATAAGGGACTCGATACGACACGGCTTAAACTTTGTCTTGGTTTCGTCGATAAACTTTATGTTAATAAACTCTGGAACTCTGCCATGGGATTCTATGAGCTTCGGCAGATACTCCTTTATATCCAGTATGAGTGTATTGATGCTTCCAGGGTACGGAGAATATATAGACCCCGGTACCGCCGTATCCCCCCCAAGCTCTGTCAATGACGCCGCCACAGACGCAAAATTGTTGTATTCAATGTTTACCGTCCGCTCAACATCCGAACCACGCATGCGAACCTTACACAGGAGACCAATCGCCTCCTTTGGTTGACGCGGGATGCAGGTAAAATTCATTGCCAGATGATTCCTGGCACTTATCGCAAGGCTCACCGGAATCGTCAGTGTGGCAATGGCATTTGTGTCTTGGAGGAAAACGATGTAGGAATACCCCTGGGACTGCCATAACTCCAGAAGCCGCCGCCCAGAGGCGCGATCAACCGCGTTGTAAAGTAATGAATGCACATCACCGTGGCCGTGAGGTTTCCGAAGCAGCTTCCCATTTTCGACTGCAAGGTGTGCTGCAGTGTCGGTAAAACAAAAGACTGTTTCTTGCTTCAAAAGATGCACGTTCGGCGTCTTACGCCCCAACGCCTGCAGAAGCTCTTCTGTACGTGCGTGGGTGTCGTCTGAGGTCATGATGACAAAAGGGGCATTAGGTCCGGCGGCGTGGTTCACCCAGGCAAGGTAGTGTTCGAGGTAGCAGCGCCGCGACGCTGTCTCGACGGGCAGGCCAAGCTTTATCCCGGAGTACCCTAGCCGCTCCCCCAAACCCCCCGCCACCAACACAAAGACGCTCTGCTTGACGTGGCTCAGTCCCTCCCGCTCTAGACGCATCAACTCCTCGCTTCGGTCAAAGAGCGAAGGGGCCTCGTACACGTAGGACGGGTTATCGAGGGCAGTGTACTCTTGCAGACCGTTGTCGGTCGCCGAGAGGAGGCGTTGGCCATTGCGCACGTACTGCTCGACGCCGCCCCTGTAGTGGTCCCCAAAGCGGAATAACTCCAGCATCCGGCACCGTTGCTCCTCCGTAAACTCCTCCGCCGAGGACGGCCAGCCCTTAAAGAGGTGAGACTGGCCCAGCTCCGCGCTGCTGAGCCGCTCACGCAACATGTTTAGCTCCTGACACGTCGGTACTCCCCCCGCAGACGTCCTCGTCATTGTTCCGCGCAGTTACTCCTATGGCTTATAATAATCCTCAAAGCTGTTTTGATTTCGTGAGTCTTTTCTCATATTTGTTTTGTTTTGTTTGTATTCATTTTTTTCTCCCCCTTGTGTTTTGTCTTTTGTTGTCGGTTGGTTGCCGCTTTTTTTTCTTGTTTTTTTTTTTACTTATTTGCCTGTAAGTGCAAAGGGGATAGGTGGGGAGGAGAGGATTCAGAGGCCCTTCTCTCTCTCCTTCCCCTCTGCACTTACAGGCAAATAAGTAAAAAAAAAAAACAAGAAAAAAAAGCGGCAACCAACCGACAACAAAAGACAAAACACAAGGGTGGGGGAAAAAAAGAAGCGAATCAGAAAAGTAAATGTACCTCAGATGAATACATCAAGCACACATACATGTAGACAGCTAAACCTCTCTCTGTGTGTGCGGGCCCCTAGATGCGACGCGATACGGCGTAAGGCAGTCATCCCGTACACACACACGCACACAACCTTCACCGCATCGCGTTTTATTTCCTTTTCCTTATTTTCTGGATCACGCTTCAATTTTTTTCCTCCTCTCTCCATTTACCATGTTGTTTTTGTTTTTGTTGTTTTCTTCTTCGTCTTTCCTTGTTTTACCGTATTACCGTCTCCCGCGCACCGCAGTTAAATGCCGCCGGTAGGAGGCCTGCACCGGGCGTGTCTGTCTTTTTTGCGTCCCGGTATCTCAAGGCAGACCGTCTCCATGTACGCCGCGTGGTTGGGGTCGTACAAGGGGGGTGTCGCGGACTGGGTTCCACTAAAGACAGCCAAGCAGCGCGTCAAATCAAACGGCGCGCGGCAGACAAAGCACTTATCATTGGAGGAAAAATTCAACGAGAGGCACTCGGTGCAGAGCCAATCGACATAGGTCATGCGAACATTGTTGCGCCGGACACCACTTCCAAGAACAGGATTATGCACTGCAATGCCCAAAAAGTAACTAAACGCTACAGCTGTGAAATTCACGGCAAGCACCTGCAGCAGAGAGGTCGAAAACCACGGGAGCAGCGCCATGGACATCAGCAAGGCAGAAATCGCAAACCCAAAGAGATACGTGGAAAAACAGGCTCCCTTGTTGATCAATATCACACCCCGCTCAGACAACACATTTTCTCGTCGCTGGCGTCGCTCACGGCGGGACAAACGCTCTCGCTTGTTTACACGCCCGTGTGCGTCGCAGGTAATCCAAGGGACTACGGCCGTGCACGAGTACGTCTTGGGCCGCCCCCGCTTCGGTAGGCTGTCCCAGAGCTGCATATATATCACACCCTCGCGCTCGAGACCCCATGTGGTGGCATCATCTGCGCTGAGTGCACAGATATCGCCGTTAATTTCAAAGCTGTTGGTTTTTGAGCCTAAAACGAGGTGGTACGTGACTTGCCGCCCTCGCTCATGTTCCTCGCACGTAAAGCACGGTCGCGAGGCCTCAACTAGATCACGAAGTTCAAACATATTGGCAAATGGCAAAAGAACCGTTGCGAGGTGATCCTTCCCAAAGGCGGCGGTGTAGTCCACACGCCACGTGTCGGGAAATGTTTCCCGCAGCTTCTCGGGCGGGTTCAACATGGCGTTACCGAGCGCAGTTGGCAGTAAGGCGTGACTTGTGGGTGGGAGAATGCAGAGGAGCTGCAAAAACATGTCCGGAGGCATCGTCTCCAGCGGTGGTGCAGGCAGCGTCGCAAGGTCGCAGCGTTGCAGGTAATCTGCAATATCCAAGGCAAACGGGGCGTGGTGAAACGGGTAGTACCACAACCAACTACACATGGACGAGGTCCCACTGTAGTAACGCCACACAAAGCGAAGCCCCTCCACGTACTTTTTACAAGCCTCCTCAACGTTTCCAGCAAGCCCCGTTGACGCCAAGTACGGCTGTCGCCACTGTTCGTCCACCGGTGAGTGAAGCGGCTCTGCCACCTCATTGAGACTCATGGTGTTGTTGCTTAGCGCAAACCGGCGAAACTTCACGGTCTCAATCTTCGCATATGCCTGCAGGAGACGCCGCAACTGTGGTAGATGAATCTCATGATACCCAGCTGTTATAAATCCGTAGGGCAATACCTCCGTTACGTAAATCTCCAGCAGGTTATCCAGGGCACTCTCCCCACAAAAAGATCCAGGAAGCCGGGGAAGAAAGTCATTGCCCATTAACATTGCCATCACAATGACATCATCAATAACTTTACTGTTTGCCTGTGAAGAACAGGGACGAAAATTGCGCCAGCCTTCCTTGTCGTTGTCTTTCTCGACCTCCTCATTTGAGGCGTATCGTAACGGCGCATCGGCGCGCCCCGCTTGACGATAAAAATGGTACCCATTCGATGACACCAGCAGTTCCGGATTGAAGGCCGCCTTGTTGTTTGGTGCAAACTGTTTAATCAGGCACAATCCATGCAGCTCCGACATGAGGCATGAACCTACTGTGTCAATGTCAAAATACTCAAACGTGGTGTTGGCCTCAGGCATCCCCGGCGCCCACGTTGTCTTTGAGACCTCCTCGGAGGAATGTCTACTGTGGTGGTCGTCGTCGTCGTCCACAATGAAAGGTAGCTCGTCACCCTCCAAGTCCTCCTCCATCGGCGGACTCCCACCGAATGCATTCGTTTTATTCTTCGCCCCTGACATCTGAGGCAGCGTCTGTTTTTTCCCTCGGGACCGTTCCGCCGTCCTCAGAGCATACGGGTTTCTGCCATTGTCTCGGAGAATAAACATGTGCGGGATGTGCAGCGAGAGGGACAAAAATATCAGATCGGCGTCTAACCCCGCAATGACATGTGTGCCACTACCGTTGAAGCCGGCGTAGGAGGACTGCGTACGCAAAAAGTCAATGATTTTGTGCTCGCCCTCACCGGATGTGTTGGCTCCGGAGACGATCACATTTAGCCCCGCCCAAAGCTGGTCTGCAACAGCCAATTTATCCTGCACCATCGTGAGCACGGCGTTTGTGACCTTCACCATGAACGCTGTACCAGGGCTAATGCAGTTGCTGTCAAACTCCGCCACTTCTGGCGTTCTGTCCACAAGGCCGTCAAGCGCGGCCAGTTCTCCGGCATACATCGCGCCATCGTTATCGTCATTACAAAGCGTGGCAGGAGTAGCTGGCTGTGCGGTACTCGTGGCGCTGTTCAACGTCTCTAAGGTGTCGTCCAAAAACCCATCCATACCGTATAAGGCATCCTGCATGAGTGACCGACGGATATCGTCAAGATCGTCGTCAACCGCCGCCATCTCATTTGAAGTAAACTCCCGCACAACCTCCTCCACAACATCTGCGCCAGAGCTAACCTTCTTTGCTCGATTCATGTAACGCCGAGCGCGCTGCTGATTCATCTTGGCCCTTGGTGCCACACCATCCGTTGCGATGAACATGATCTTTTTTGGACGCACCGTCGCTAGGAGCACCTCCACCTCATGACAGATGCGCAGCAACTTCTCCTCCTCCGGCCGTGCGGCAACGGCGGGGTCCCGCTCACTGTGGCAGCACGGATGAATCAGGGCATTAAGGTCAATGTAAAGACCATGGACATTGGCAGGAATAACGTCCGACGCTATTTCAGGATACTTCTTCTTCAGCCATGACGCAAACGCTGGAACACCCATGAGGGGGAAACCAACCGTAGTCACCTACGTAAAGTGCAACTTGTGGCCAACGCAGAACACAGTGATGCAACGACGCTACTAGAAGCCCTCCGCCCTCTTGTTCCCGCCCCGTATGCGTATATGAACCCACCTGAAAAGGTACACGAAGTATACATACGTAAATACATGCATGCAACCATAAGTGGAGAAAAAGAGAAAGATAACAAAAGAAATGGGCATGGGTCGTGACCATCTGCCTGTGTTGTGAAGGATGCGGAGGTTCATCAGAAAATTCAATGGGATTCACGACACCAAAGTGTCACATGGCATCTCATTTTGTATGTGTCTGTCCGTGACGCACAGTCACACCGCCTCATCTAGCCACCCCCTTGTTTGCTTGTTTTCATTCCGCCCCCCCCCCTCCGCCAACCCCATTCATGCCTCGCTTCGCCCATCATACAAAAGTCGACAAAAAAAAAAACAAATCACATACACTCACACAAATGCTTACTCATAGTATACTATCTATACATGGCTCCTCGCATTGCTTCCGCCCCCTTCCACAAATGTCTTTCTTCCTTTCTTTTTTTTTTTTCATTTGCGGTTGTTCGGCATCCTTGTAACTCAGCATGCATCTTAAGCATATGTGGCCCAGCGCCATGGTTCACGAGGACTGCTGCTGCTCCACAAGCCATCACGTGACGCCAAATGGAATGGTATTTGTCTACAATGGTGTTGCCTCACTATGGCAACTCTACTGGTGGTACCAGTGACACTTCCCTGGCGAAACTGAACGATGCCGCGTCTGATGCAAGGGCTTCGTGTCCGGTTGCTTCTTTGCTGTCACATACGATTCTAGCAGCTCCGTGCGCGCAAGAAGGCCCTCCAGCATAGAAATAATGTGACATGAGGTAGTGGCCGTGGTGTTGCCGGCCACAATCACGTCTTCAGCGGAGATGTGGCGTGCAGGTTGGGGGCGTAGCCTTGCTTTGTGCTCCGCCATGCATTTGCGTAGCCAGACAGTGGCCTGCTTAACTTCCAACGTCTCACGGTTGAGTTGCCTAGCCTTCTCTTCCAGCACCACCTTGACCTCTCGCAAGAGCAAAGCGTGGTTGCGGTCCCGCTGAGTACGACACTTGGCCATGTCCTGCCGCCACGTCTCACGGGCCTGCATCATACTTACATGCTGAGCACGTAACTTTTCCTTCCTCTCTGCCAGCAATAAACTCGCACGACGCAGGCGATCTTCTAAGACACAATTTTGCTTCGACAGCAAAGGATGCAAAAGTTGATCATCATTGCTGTCTTGCCCCAACGCTGGTTGTTTCTCATGCCAAGAGACAGGCGAGACCGCGTTACCCGCATTAAGCCAAGGTTGCTGCTTCATCGGGCTCGGTCGTGCACTGCTCCACAAACTGTTGACAGGAGCTATACTCGACAAGGTGCCATTTAACACAGACGTCAAGGAACAGTGGGTTTGCGGCTGCGGCTGCAGCAAAGGGCCCGGGGTGAGTTGTTGTTCCTGACGTCCTGAAAAGAATGCATCTATTGGCACAGTAGGAGGTAGTTTAGATGCAACAGGTGTATTGGTCGCATTGGTCGTATTGGTAGGCGTCGCAGCAGTTGGAGTTCGAGTCCTTCTCTGAGCATAATCCTGCCGTTGTCGCAACGCTGCCCGTGCGCCCCGTGTCATCGCTTCGAGTGTCTCAATACGTCCTTGCAAGCGCTGTCGCAGTTCTTCCTCACGCCTATGAGCCTCCTCAACACTCACTTCATTTATCCGCAGTGCCACATTCTCAGTGTTTCCGTCTGGCTGAGGTACTCGAGATAGTGACTCTGCCGTTGCTGCCGTATCCCACGGAGATGACTGCCGTGTGGCGAGCGCCTTCACCCCCTCCGTGATGGTGGAGGCCGTTTGATCAAGCCGCTGCCGATACTCCTCCGCCTGCCTCACTTGATACTGCGCGAGCCTCGCCTCAACCTCCCGCAGCCGCTCCTCACGATATGCAGTCACCGCCTCCTTCACCTCCTTTGTTAGCATCAACTCCACTTCCGCCAATTTATTTTCATCGTCAACCGTCCTCTTTTCCTTTGCGTCCATGACAGCAATGTCAACCCGTTTCTGCTGGTCCGCCTTGTTCAGCATAGGCGCTGGAGAGGCATTCATCAATCCAGAGAAGGTCGGAACGGGCTCCAGTTGTGGCATCGTCAAATCCGGTGGCGGGTTTGCCTTCAACCACAGCTCCTGTTCCTCCTGTAGCCTTTCTGCGTAGCCAGGCGACTGACGTGGGTTAAAGAGCTTCTTCTCCTGCAAGATCCGTTCGTGCTCGCGTCGAATCCGATCCATTGATTGGGCGTGCTTCGTCTCTAGACGCTGCAAGGCATCATCAAACTCTCGTTGCTCCTGCACAGCCGTCATCGTCGGGCGTCCTGCTTTGGCAATATTGTTGTTGTTGCTGATGCTGCTGATATGCTCTCTATTCTCCGTATCACCACCGGATGGCCTCGCTTTATTCACCTCCGCCTGCTTCGCCGCCACCAGCCGCTGGGTTTCCAGCTCGTACTGCGCGACCTTTTGTTTCAATGCCTGCTCAAGCTTCGCCGCCTCCGCCGCCGCCTCCTCCTCCCTGCGCTTGAGTTCGTCGTCATGTTTCGCATTTACCGGGGATGCCGTCACTGCGGATGCCTCCTTCGCCTGAAGCTTTCTTTGTTTTTCAGCCTGCAGAGCATCCTCCTTGGCGCGGTACTCGTGACGCAAGGCGTCCATGGCGTCTGAAGCGGCGCTTGTTGCCCTCTGCAGTGCCGCCTCGTACGCCCGCTGCACCGCGGCCTCTGCCGCTTTACTGGACGCGTCACTGCCGCCTTGTTCTTTCTCCTTCTCGTCAAGCTCCTTCTCCAATTTGGCCCGCTCGGCCGCAAGCCTCTTTTCAAACGCCTCCAGGGTCGTTTTACTGTCACGCTCTAGCCTGGTTACCTCTGCCTCCAACTGCCGCGCGAGGTCTTCTGAGAGTCTCGCCTTCTCCTTTGCCAACGTCGCCGCCGCCACCTCACGCTGCGTCGTTGCACTTTCAATACGGCGGCGTTGCATCTCGTTCCGCACCTCCTTCAGGCGTTCCTGCAAGGCACCTTCCAACGACGTCTGCTCCTGCTCCAGCTTCTGTCGGAGCGACGCCACACGCGCCCTCGCCTCCGCATGTTGCTTCTCTAGTGTTTGTTGCAAAGATTCCAGCTCAGCCTGGGCGCGTCGTTTCAACTCCTCGGCCTGTCGTTCTCGCGCCTCCGCCACCGCAACTTCGCCGGTTTCCTTCGCGTCCTGCAGCGCCTTCTCCAGCAAGGCACGCTCGTCCATGATTTGCTTCTCATGGCGTATCCGCATGGCGCGTCGGCGGGCCTCAATGTCGTCGTCGATGCGCCGGCGGATTTGTACCTCCATCCCCTTCACACCATCGTGGGTTTTTGTTAACAACGATTTCCCTGCAGCGATACCGACGCCGAGCCCCCCAGCCGCCAGGCCGATGCTGCTACTCGTGCTCGTGTTGCTCCCACCGAAGCCAAACCGGGTGAGCGCGCGTTCGCCGGTGCTACTCGACGCCAGCAATCCACTCACGTCCGGGGCAACGCGCTGCGTTGCCGCCGGAGTTCCCAAAGCCCCCAGCCGACCAAATCGCATGGCAGAGGCTGTCAAAACTGTGGTCATGGGCGACGTGTACGGCGATGACATCGGTGTCGTGGAGGTGGTCGTTTTTGTCCCCTTAACGGACTTCTTTGGGGTCTCAACGTGGCCCGCCGCCCCCTTCTCCAGACGCCGTACCTCGGCACCTTCCTCACCCCTTCCTGCCGTGGCGGAGGATTTGTTTCGCTTCTTTGCCTTTCCGTAACCGGCCCCGCCGGTCATCAGCTTCGCACGCTCCTCCATCACCTTCTCCTTAAAAGCTTCATCCGTGGGGTGCTCCCACTTGCTCTCGCCGGTTAAAAAGTTGAAGTAATACACTTCGCCTTCGCCTGTGCGACACGCCTTCCACTCTGCCGGCAGCGGCGTCCGCAGCCCCTCCCGTGCAACCCAAAGAAGACTTGGCTCCTTCTCCAAATCAATTCCGAGCCACTCCGCATACTCCTCTATCTCCTCCTGCGTGGGCACACTACTCGAGTCGCAGGGATCTGGAAGCACCACCGAGACACTGCCGTCATCGCTGTGAAAGACCTCACCCGCCTTCGGAATCACCGCCATGCCCGCACACAGGCGTCCTTTCACTTAAAGCAAAAACAACGAAAATGATACGCATGCAAAGAAGCAAACAGCATAAAACGCGCTACGATTTAACATATATATATATATATATAAATGTATTGCTTGCAACAGTAAATGAAGGCAGAAACAACGATGGGAGGGGAATAAATGTGATGGCAGCACATAAGCATACATCTGTGACTTGACTAGTTGGTTCCTCCTCCTGCACCGGACCTCTCTTTCTCTCTCTTTCTCTTTCTCTCTCTCTCTCCCATAGGCCCCCACATGCGGCACCACGGTTGCCACCGTTCCCCCTCTCCACTTGGCGGTCACGGCGTGGTAGACATTTTACTGCTGCATCCTGCTGCACAGATTCAGGAAGAAAAACACATCAGCGGCATCCATACTACTGCAACGAGCCAAACAAGCACCAAAGGGAAAAAATAAAACCATCCAACGTCCAGATTTTGAGTAAATGTGGAGAAAAAAAAAGTTATAATAACGGACGATATGTATACATACAAATAGATATATATCTATGGAGGGGAGGGGGGGAGATACAAGTGTGTGTGTGTGTGTGTATCTGCCTGCAAGAATTACCTCCCTCCACAGACCAGCATAAGTTCAAAAACGAAACTAAAGACAAAACACACACTTTAAGACAACCATCACCACAAGCAGCTGTGAAGACCACGACACACTCACCAGTCCTACCCCCATCACCTACGAAAGAGAAAAAAAAAAAAGTAATCATCGAATCATTATTAATGAAAAATCAATGTCCCGCCTTCTTTCGGTAAACAGAGAAAAGGACAAAAAAAGAAAAGGGTTGTTTGAATGTCCTTGGGGCCGTAGCAGACGAAAAACTCAACGACGTAATAGGGAGCAAGTTATATTTGTAGAGAGAAAGACATTCATGCAAATATCGATGCGTGAGGCCCATGTGACCCGTCATTGCACGCCAACGCCGTCCCTGCTCACCACCCCCTCTCGTCCCCACTCTGCCTGCAACTACACCAGACGCAGACACGGAGAGACCCCGGTGATGAGTATGTGTGGTCCGCATCCAGAGGCAATTCCCACAATAGAATGTGAGGAACCAAGAAAGCAAAAACAAACACAAAAATCACGTAGGGCATATGCGTCGAAGATCATCTACGTCGCTCAGTGCCAGAAAAAAAAAAAAAGCACCCATACATATGTATCAAGCAAACAAGAAAAACAAAAAACAAGTACAAAGGAGAATGTCATAAGTAAAGTAAAGACGTAACAAGTGGTTGACTGGTGCTGCTGGTATTCGTGTGGTATTCGTTCTCCTACCTTTCCTTCTCTCATTGGCTGAAAAGGCGACAACCCGTCAGCCACTCGACACCACATACATACACAGAATGCATGCGCAGGCTCTCGTAGCGCACAGCAGTAGGCCTGTTTCGCCGCATTTCTCTTTCACTCATTCCTCCAATCATTTTTACCGTCATCGGCTAAAACTTTGTTTTATTATTATTATTATCATTTTCTTTTCAGTCCAACCATTCTTGGGCCACCGCCTCCTCGCTAGCTTCTTGGCTGCACATATAAATATACACACATGTGTTTGTGAGCTGTTCGGCGCCGTGCATGTTCAGCGGAGTCACAGGAAGAAGAAAAAACACGTTAGACACATACACGTATTATTATTGTGTTGGTATTACTATTATTCTCACATACCCTTACCACCAACCACCATCGTTTCCAGCAGCGGCACTTGTTGCTTCCTTAGTCCGTGTCGTTCCGGCGTTTCTCTGACGGCGTTTGACCCAAAGAAACCTCGTATGCAGTCAGGCGCTGGCTAAGATCCCGTGTTTTTGTAGGCGTCACCACAGTACTCTCCGGTGCCATGGTGTTTGCCTTCATTCAGCTTCGCACTCCCGTCCGCTTCCATGGAGTCCAGGCTCACGCTCGAGCTGCTGTTGCAGATGACGACACTGTCCACGTCCTCCTCCGGAATCACGTTGGCCAACTCGTGTTGGTCCGTGTGTGGCTTCAGCGAGGCCCACTTGATGTGGCGCAAAAGCAGGTACATATACGCAGGAAACCCCATCCCCATCACGCCAACGGCGGGACCAAACCACAATGCCTGGACGCCAAAGTCTGTCTTCAGAAAAAGGCAAGCGCCCAGTGGGACACCCACAATGGAGTAGACCATGAGAATCATAATTGCGCCCAGCTTCTGCATCCCGCACCCCCGCAAGATGCCCATCACACAGCTCTGAAAGACATCAAAGACGTGGTAGACTACAAAGTAGGGGAGTAAGGAGTGAAATATTTTAACCACCGTGGCGTCATCCGTGAACATGTAGGGAAACACATTCCGGAATAGAAACACCACACACAGGTTAAGCAGTGCAATGAAGGTCCCCACGGCTACACAATAAAATGCCATGCGACGTGCCAACATGGGCTTCCCCTTGCCAATGGCATTACCTACCAACACCGAGCCTGCAATAAATGTGCCTGAGACTGCAGCCCAACACAAACTGGATAACTGAAACGTAATGCCAAATGCCGCGAGTTCCTCGCGTGTGCCAAAACCCGAAAAAATATTGTTAATCTCCAACGAGATCCATTCACTAAACATCATCCCCATAGAAGGAAGGGTGAGCTTGAGAAGTGGACCCCAATTCCTGTAAGCGGCGTCGTCCCAGCCGCCCCAGGTATCCTTGTACTTTTTCGTCAGCATGAGGTAGAGCAGGAGGCTTCCCGACATGAACACCATGAGAATGCACCAACCCACCGGAGCGCCAGCAAAGCCCCAAAAATAAACGCATGCTATGAGTAAAAACGGAAAGAACACGGCACCCACCACAAGATTGACAGAAAGGGGGTTGGATAGATGCTGACATGCAAAGTAGCGTCGTAGCAACTCCAGCATCATGGCTGGAGGAATCCCCCACACGCAAATGCGACAGAATTGCCCTGTAAATACGATCACGTCAGGATTTTGCCCCAAATACAGAAGAATGCGATCACTGAACAAAATAACTGGAGACACCAAAAAAGCAAGAATCATCAGCATGAGAAACATGCGTTGCGTATACACGCCGTACAACTTATTCTTGGAATCTCGGCCGTAGGTATGGGAAAGCACTGTCTCTAATGCTCCACAACATCCAGAGGCAAAGGCGAATGCCGTGGCATTAATGAGTCCGTATGCAATCGATGCGCCGCCCAACTCATTTACGCCCAATCTTCCCACGACAGCAATCATAGAGACGTTGATGGAGAACTGTGCAAGCTGAGCAAAACTTAGCGGAATCGTCATCAGGACGATACGCTTGAACATTTCTCGTGTGTTTACGGACTCATCGATGCACACTTGTTGTGCGGCCCCACCCACAAACGAGTTGTTCAACGACGGCATGCTTCCCCACACACACGAATACAAGAAACAAGGAATAATAATGATAATAATAATAAAATTATGCCTGCCTATTAATATTTACAAGTGTTTCCGCCTCCAGCAGTATGCGTATATACGTATATACAACTACTTCTGACACGATAAATGTCACCGGAAATTCGTGGTTGTAGTTTTAGCAAACTCCCGCAGATGTGGTCTTTCTTTCTGTATGCCTGTATATATATATATATATATATATATATATTCTTGCTAAGTGTCCGTACTTCTTGCCTTCTCCTCCCTCGTCCTCTCCTCCGCTGGGTGTCGCGCTTCCACAGCCACCCAAATCTCGCTCCTTTTTACGAGCGTGAACTAAGATATATGGATTTTTGGGTGCCTCACCGTACCGGCTCTCTCTTACTTTCCCCGCCACACCCACCTGCCTCCTGTCAGTCCTGTGCCACCAGTAACAGTGGTAGCCAGGAGCAATGTTTATGTATTGCAGCGTATTCTCTTTGTGCCGCTGCCGTCACCACCACTCAGTATCCCACCTCTATTTATCTCCTGTACTCCCTTGTTATTCGCTACACCTGTGTGTCAGCAGTAGCAGGCGCGTGTACTTGTGGAACGTAAGAGACACGCTTCACACTGCTGTCCCCTTACGCGATAACGCCCCGAGTAATATAATTTATTACTATTTTGTTTCCCGCGACTACCGTCGTCACCTCCTTTTTCTTTCTTTCTTTCCTTCGCGTTTTTACTCCTGTTGGTGTTTCGTTTTTTGTTTTTACTTCTTTTCTTTCCTCGCAGCCGTGATGCTTACTCCGCCTCGCCTCGCGTTTCACACACGTGTGGTGGTCTATCGCCGTCTTGTTGGTTTGTGCGGCCTGTCCAACGCGGAGTGTCGCGTGCCAAAGCCCTTGCACCTATACGTTTTCTGCAATCAAGCCAAAAAGAAAAAAAAACACGCAAAAAATAAAGAAGAGGAAAGAGACCAGACGAAGGGGTGCGAAAGGAGAGAGCGGAGGAGACAGAGAGAGAAGCCGCAAGACAAACAGCAACCACAGGCAAAAACAAATAAATAAAGCAAAGAAATCTCGTCAAAAGAAGCATCAGAATATACACAACGTATGCACTTCCCCTTTTTCCCGCACACCACACGAGCACACACAGTCTCTCTCTCTCTCTCTTGTTTATTCAGTTACCGTCAATGGTGCAAAGGAGGTGGGTGAGCAAAAATACCCCAATAAAACTGAGGCAATGATGTTTTGTTTTGTTTTTTTAAATTTCAAAGCATCGCGCAGGGCGCAAATACTTTTGGTTTTCACCGTCATTCGCACCAACACGCCTGATACTGTCATTGTGGGGCGCACCGGTCGGGCTGGTCGCAGCAACCGTGTGCAGGGGTGGCGACGACGTGGAAGGCACGAAGGAAGTCGACAGGTATAGGCGTCGGTGCTGTCGCTGCGCCGTCAGTGGTCGACCCTCCAACCCTGCACTGTCCATCGTCCTGCTCGTGTTGTACTGCACACCCATTTGCATGTGTTCCTGCTCCAACGCCGCCGCCGCCGCCGCGGTCGCCCCGGTCCGTCGATTGTGGGCAAGGACACGGCCAATAACCGCCAGGCACCGCTGACGTGCATCCTGTGAAAGAGATAGATGCAGCTCCACGCCTGCTGAGGATCGACGCAGAAGCACGGGAATGCTAAGAGACGCAAGGCCAGCCGCATGCACGTCTGTGTGCAACTCGGTGGGCGCGGAAGGAGGCAGACAACTCACAATAAAGTTCCCCTCACGTGAACCGATAACCGCAAAGGCGTGGGCCACCCACTGCAGTGGTGTCTGACACTGCGCCATCTCAGCTTCCTCGTTCAGGCGTGTCATGTTTCCCACAATTCGCCGCGCCACCAGTTTAGGGTCCTCCTGTAGTTCAGACAGCTTCAGTACCTGGTGGGACAGTAACCACTGCATCTCTGAGAACGGAATCGGCAACACGCGCGAGGTCGCATGTGGTCGTAGATAAAATGCACCACTCTCCGTCAAGCCGCCTGTCGCAGCGTCAATCACAACAATCCCCACCTCCAGCAACGCAGCAGCTGAAGACGGAGACGACAAGGACGGCATCACAGTGGTGGAGGAAATAGCCCTCATATGAGCCCAACTGCTCTCCGAAATAAGCAGAAGTCCCCGATTTTCCCTCCAAGCGGCGCAGAGGCCACATTTGGTCAAAAATGCTTCCATCTGCGTCGCACTGTCATTGAAAAACACGCCAAGATGTTGCCGCAGCAACATGTTCCCCGGCGAGAGTCGCACAACACCGCAGGCATGCAGAACAGAGTCTCCCACCAGTTGACCGCCAGAAATAGCTGCTGTCTCGCCACTCACGGTGACTTTTGGAGGTGGAGACAAAAAACGTGCCGAGTTGCCGTGCCTCACCTTGCGCAGGGCGGCGAGGAAGAAGCCCTCCGCACCGCCATTGCGATGTGGTAAAACACGCAAACAGCAAGCTTCGAGTGCCGCTTGAACTTTTGCATTCCCATCAGGTGGAAAAAGTTCTACTGTCGTCTTCTCCCCCTTCGCTTCTGCCTCTGCAAAGGTATGCAAAAAGCCTCCCGCGCGTGACGGAACAAGCCATCGTGGCAAACCTCGACCAAAGTGCCAGCCACTATTCGCCGTCATGGAACGTGGTGGGCGCACCAGCTCCACTCCACCATCCGCTAACACTGTTGATACTACCGCCTCATTTTCCAGAGGGTTGAGGGTGCATGTCGAGTAGACGATGCACCCTCCTGCAGCGCACAACTCCACTGCGCGTCGCAGTAGCGCCACCTGAGTGGCAAAAAATTCCACAGCTTTCAAAGGATGCCACATTCGCCACGACATGACATCCTTATGCATGCGGCCCTCTCCGGAACAAGGAGCATCCACCAACACCTTATCGTATTGAACCCCACCCGTTGCAACGGGCTGTACAGGGAAGTGTTGTCCTTGTATCTGTGTCACAGCTATATTCGGCGAAACACTCTGCAGTCGCTGTGCGAGTGCGTGTCTGCGGGAAAATATGGCATCATTCGCTACAATGCAGCCACTCTCCGAGGACAACACGGAGGACGACGAGAGGCCAGTCATGTAGTCAAGAATAAGAGCTGCTTTATTACCAGGTGAAGCACACAAATCCAACACGGACTCCCCAGGACGCGGATCGAGGAGCAACACTGGCAGCATACTTGAGGTGGATTGAAAAGAAATAAGTCGTTCGTTTGCAAGCGCCCGAAGCAGTTGTCTGTTGGAAAGAAGTATATTGTGTGGGATGTCTGGTGTATCCGACATGACGAAGGCACCACACATGGGTGGAAGCCAGGACAAGGGTTCTATGCCGGGACGACCACGCAAAAGACCCTCCACCACTTTTCCGTACATCTGTGAGGTGAGTACACGGAACCCCACTGGCTGGCGCCCGCGCAGAGCCTTAAACAGTTCCATCAGCTCCGCCTCATCCTCCACAAGTCCCTGACGCACAAAATAACGCGAAAATGAAGCATTTGGCGCAGCCACCACGTGATCTCGCTTCTGGCGCAACGTTGCCAGCACCACGTTACTGTAACCAGCGGCAAGCAGGGTGGTGTCGCGTGGCTCACCCACGTCATCCTGCAGCGATTGAGGCAGCAGTGCGTCGTCGCGTTGCGTTGCGGAAGTCAATTCGTGACCTGCCTCACCCACCCCACCTCCAACTAGCCGACGATGCCGTGCGAGCAGTGTTTCCATCTCACGCATTTCCTCCGCGGTGCGGCAGGCCGCAAGCGCATTCTTGACCCACGACGGCTCTATCGTCAACTGCAGCTGCTGCTGTTGTGCAAGAGCCACCTCTACTGCAGCCCGTGCAACGGTGTAACTTCCACGCCGCCGCGCCTCCCCAAAGACGAGGTTAAGAGTGCCACGCATCCAACTCCCTCGTTGCCGCGGAACACCCTTGTAACGCCACGGGACGTGGCAGACGTATTGATGAACCTCGCGACGCACGGATTCGGGACTCTTCAACGGTGCGAAGAGTGACGCGACGTTCCCACGCAAAGATGTAAATGAGTCATAGTGGCAGAGAGGAGAAGCCCGCATGTTTGTCGCTTTGCTTCTTCTTTATTTATTTGTTTATTTACCCCTTCCCTTTGTACGTTTTCTTCGGACTTTCCGCTTGGCTTCTTCCTGTTCGCTTCCCCCACCGCTCTTCCCTCCCGTTTCACCTTGTAATCGTTGGTTGTGGTTGTCGCAGGCGGGACCCAAACAGCAACTTCCACCTTCCCACTTTGCAGCCCCCGCCTCGCCTCCTCACTTTTCACCACCTCAGCCGGCAAAAAATCCAGAGATCAATAAAAATGCCAACAGTTTTCTCCTTTCTACGTTGCCCCCAGAGGGGAGGGGCAGGGATGACTCTACAGCGCACACGCATAGAAGCAAACAAAACGACAGAGTAAAAAAGATTTTTAAAAACCCAAAAGAAAAAAAACAACAACAAAAGAAAAACAACAACAACAAAAGCGCAAAAGGTGCGGCATTGAATCACTGTAGAAGGAAGCATACAGCGTAAAAAATCTACAAAGATGGTTGCGTAGAAGGCAGGAGAAAGTTAGAAAAAGGAAGGGAAAGAAAGAGATAGATAAATAGCCAAAATAAATAATTTAAAAAAAAAAATGAATAGGCACCCTGCCAAGGTGGCTACTGCAAGCACATCGCAAATACGTTTTCAAGGAGGCATGTCCGTACTAAGTCTTTTTTTATTTTATTTTTTTGTCTTTGTCTTTCGTATCTCGTCATTTGTTTAAATTTCTTTCCCCCTTACACTCACAGCCGCTGAGCTGCGTTGAGAACTTTGCTTGTTTATCACTTTTGCGCTGTGATTCTTCAGCACCGTTCACCAACACACAAATTTCCCCGTACGGCAGTCCCCTCATAGACATAGAAATACTGACATAGATGCGAATATAGGCATATGCGTGTACATCGTGACCCTCTCACCACCGACCACACAAACACACACAAAGAGAGGGAGAGAGAGAGAGAGAGAGAAATAGATGGAAAGAAGCCCATCCTCGTTCCACTAGGCCTTTATAGTATGCGACTGCAGTTATGTATATGCAGCAGCATATACATACATAACTGCCGTTACGCTCTAATCAGATCAACTTGTAAACAAGGGTACAGAAGGATCACTCGCAGTAAGAGAGGGAAAATAACGCATGAGACTCCCCTTGCTCCCTCCACCAGGCAATGCAATAGAAGACGCCAGCAAAAACAAAAACACACAAAAAAAAAATAATAATAATAACATGCAATCTGGGGGGATAAAATAGGCGGTGACAGACCCACACTTTTTCTCTGTTAGGTTGTTTATACGCGTTTCCCACCCCCACACACCCCCACCCCCACACTTTTTACCTCGCTCTTTTTCACTTGGTCCCTGTGTGCATGCGTGTATCTGCATTCATCTCGCATTGATGCCGCAGCCATATTTGTAAGCGCCAGGAAAAGTGTTGTATGTACATATGCATTATGTATCACTAATTTGAGACCTGGCCTAATCTCTTCTTCCCACACCATTCCGGTTTCTTCTCCATGCCGTAGTCTGAAGGCTGATTTATTTCCCTTAATGTCGTCTCCACTGCTGCTGCTGCTGTCACAGCTTTTCTCTCGTGTATGCTGCTAAGCCTTTGCAGATATCTATGTTTCGTCACTTCCTCGCACCCCCCCCCACCCCTCCCCCCGCGAAGTTACGTCAAAGGAGATCTTTCAAGTGCAAAGAAGAGTCGGCGTTGGAGTTCACGCAAATTGTTCCGCATATCTTCCCATTCCTGCTCTGTTGGGGGGATGGGGTGCCGCTCAATGCTGTTCAGAGTGATCAGGGAGTGCTCAACGGCATCCTGCAACGCACGGGTCCTGGCGCTGCTCGCTGCGCGTGGGGCTTCTGAGAGGTCGGAGTTCTCTAGCAAAGATGCATTATCCACTGCGGCTCCCTTGACCACTGACTTTCTCTCCGACCTCTTTGACTGATGCCCGCGCAGCGACGTACGGTGTGGTTGCCCGGATGTGTTTGGAACCATCGTGCGCTGTTTCCCATTAACACAATTTTTGTCTGTCGACTCGGTGGCCGGGGAATTACCGCGCACCTGCCGCAGCTCCATGATCTCACGCTGCTGCTCCACTATGCGATTCATGAGTTTTGCATTCTCCTCATTGCGCAGCCTAAGCGTGTTCTCCAGCTCCACTCCACGCTCCTCGGCATCCTCGTCCTCGTAGACCTCCTCGTCCTCGTCCTCGCTCTGGTCAAGGTTCTCAAACGGGAAGTCTGTGTCCACCACCTCAACAGGGTATTTAAGCAGCTCCGGCGGGGTACTTTTCGTGGGGTGTGGAAGAATGCTTGGCACGGCAGCGAAGTCAACGTGCTGCACAGTACATTTATTCTCTGTGAAAACAAAGACATCAAACTTCATCTCTCGCGCCGCCTCTTGTCCCTTCTCAGTGCGTACCATGCCCTCTACATGAACGGTGACACTCCCCTGACTCTTATACTCTACAGAGGCCTCCGCATTCCAATAGGCGTCAATGCCTTCCAACTTTTTCCCTTTTGTATTGAGCAGACGCACACGCAGGAATACCCCGGGGCTACTCACCACCGCCACCATTTTCCCCTTTGTTTCAACCTGCACTGAAATCGGCTTTCCTGCCCACATCCCGGCGGAGGAGGTGCAATACCACTCTGACTTACTCCCGTCAATCGGGGCGATGGTCATATCATCTGTGTCACAGTAGACAGAAAGTCGCCATTCATCCTGATGGGGAGACTCTGTAAAGGGAATGTACACATACGCCTCTCCCGCCTTTAGGTTGGCAGACGTGGAAATGTAGCTGTTGCTAGCAAAGTTGTTACTGGCAACAAAGGTAGACTTCTGTGGTAGCGGAACGATAGCCTTAAGATATCGCTTTTCCGGGGCAAAGGTGGTAAAAAGTCTTCCATGTAGGCGGGGACGCTTATTTTGCTCTTCCCCCTCCTCATCACGCGAATGGGCACGTTGGCGATCTACAGAGAGGTACGATAGTACAAACACTACACGGCAGTTTTCTTTCGGTTGCAAACGAATTTGTGGATTACATCGCCAATCAAAGCCGCTGCCGCCGCGGCCCGTCAATTCGGTCCAGGAGCCATCTAGCACAGTTCGCACCCACCCTACCTGCTCTGGCACGGCAGTAAGCTGAATAAATTTGTCACCAAAGGCTGAAAGCGCAAACTCCGTCTGACGACCCCGTTGACTAGTGAAGGGGACTACAACATACGGAGTTTCACTCGGTTGCAGCGTACAATGCAGCACATTTTCACAGTTAGAGGTGAATTTCCCAATCTCAACCATGCGTCCATGAAAGTCCAGTTGTTTTAGCTCCACCTTCGAGAGCTCAGGGTCGCCCTCAAAAAGGGCTAACCCCATATACACTGTATTATTCTTTTTCTTCTTCATCATGCGAGCTTCGTAAAGCAGGTCTTGGATCATAAAGGCAATATCTGTCGTCTCCGTCACATATAAGTAAAACTGTGGGTTGTCCATAAAGGTGGAGAAGATTGGGCGACCACCGGAGGATGTGGCGGACCACTTATCTGCAATGGTGACACCATAGTATGGAAAGGGTGATTCTGTTTCTTGGGCGGTGGCACGACCGTACCCTTCGCGGGCCGTATTTTTACCAAAGACACGCGCAAGACCTTCAAGCAGGCGAAATTTCACCTCACCGTAGCGTGGATTGTCGCGTGCGATGTCAAGATTCCTTTCATTGCTGCAGCATAAATTCACAAGAGCGTAAGAGGCAAGAATAGGAACCTGATGGTCACGTGTTCCTGCGGGACTGAACAAAACATCAATAAGTAGATCAATTCCACCAAAGGATGCTATCATGTACTGCATATCTGCATCTCCGTGAGCCAGGCGTCCCACACAGTTTGTGGCTGCCTTGGTGAGATTAACAACCTCCTCAGGGGTGTTTCGCAACGTCTCAAGAAGTTTGGGTACAATTTCAAGTCGCTCAAAGTTCCGTCGTGCATCGGGGTAAAGATCCACAATCGCGGCCACTGCTGTACATGCGGCTTCTTGAACCTGTTGATTTGGATAGCTATATATAAGCTCTACTAACTCTGTGTACACCACAGGGGCAAGCTTCATTTTGTTTTTTAGGCAACCGCGACACGCGGCTTCAAGCGCCACGCATGCCGCCTCCTTGCAGCGTTCCTCCCTAACTTGCAGCAACCGCGTCAAGGCATCAAGGCCACCAATTTCCTCAAACATCTCCCGTCCAGCATCATCCAAGACGCTAGCAATGGTCTGTGCTGCGTTGGAGCGGTAAAAGGTAGAGGCAGAACGATCTACAAAGCGCACAAGCAGTTCCAGCCCGCCCAGTTCACGAAAGCTTGCCTTGGACTCAGGGAATAAGACACTGTGCGAGGTTAAATCATCAAAGGTCTCCGGTAGATTTGAAATAATGCGGGACAGCTCGGTTTGCATCTTAAGCTTCTTCTTTTGTCTACTCTGAAGACGATGATAATCCGGGCGTTCAGGAGTCTCATCGTCGTGCTGTGGAATTTGTTTCAGCTTCAGGAACTCTGCCGCTTCCTTGCTGCGTTTATCGCGTAGCTCCTGCTCCAGGCTGGCGATGTGTGACCGCATCCGCTCAATCATATCCTCCATCTCTGCCAACCGCTTGTAGTCAATCGCATTACGCACTGGACGCAGCACCAACTGCAGGGCTCTTTTGCCAAACTCAATCGTCGACCTCGTCTCGGAACTCCACAATGCGCTGCAAGACACTGCCAGGATAAAGTGAATGAGGTTGGATCCGCCCAAGCTTGACTGTAAGAGATATGTCAGTTTACTGTCCTTGTATGGTATATGAATACGGCGTCCCTTGTGCTTCGCATGCTCTACTAACTTAGAGACGACATTGCCGAGTGCACTTAGTGACTTATTTATGTGAATCGCTTCCCACATGCTGTCGCCCTTCGCACCCGACTGTGCTAGCCGCTCGGACCCTGCAAGATCAATGAGGTTTAGCTGCGCACGTGAGCCTGGCAAAGACGGTTCATCCCACTGCAACTTCATCATCATAATCATATGACTGCGTGAGGAGACAAGGTTCATCTCAGTTGCAGATGTCGCACGTATCTCCGACGCCTTCGTGTACAGCCGCATCGTCTCCTCAAGGCCCTTCACACGTGTCCATGTCGCGTCTCGTGCTACGTACTGTCCCGTGCGATCCATGTGTATCTCCAAGGTTTTCTGCCCTGCCAAGAGATCCTGGATCTTCTCCTGATAGATCTGCACTAGACTCACCTCACAGGCGCTATCTGTGATGTCATTGTTCGCCTCAAACCGTTCAAAGACGGCACGGATCAGTCGCGGCGTCAGTCCGTAACCTTCCAGTTTTGTGCGGTTGCCCTCCATCGTGTAAGTCTTGCCACTGCCTGTCTGCCCATACGCAAATACAGAGGCATTGTAGCCACTGAACAGTGCGTCAAGCACCTCTGACCCAATGACTCGAAACACCTCACTCTGTACTGCATCGCGATCAAATACGTGATCAAAGCGTGTCTGTAACTCCGGGGCCCCCTCTTCGCCCTTCAAAAAGAGCGTGTCAGGCATTCGCGCGTCACCACGACATACGAGTTCGCCACCGCCCTCCTTCTTCTCACGATCATTCAACGGGCGTAGACGCACGTACACGCGCGGGCGCGAGACGGCTGCCTTGCTCATTCACCCTCTGTGAATAAGAACCTGCCTTTCCCTTCTCGCAGCGCAGGTACGCCCACACGAAACACAAAATAGTAAAATAAAAAATAAAATAAAAATTTAAGGAGAGAAAAAGAGATGAAGAAAAGGAAATACAAGCATGCATATGTGTGTATGCGTCAAATAAAAGAAAAAAGCATTCTGGCGGCAAACGACATGTGTGTGGAAAAAATAATGGATAGATAGCACTACTGCCTCTTGAGAAAGCTCATTCATAGTGAATGAGGAGCCAAGTACCCACTGTGTATGTGCGTGCGTCTCACTCCGTCTGCCTCTGTATGTGTGTGTGTTTGTGTGTGGTAGGGGGGGGTGGAGCGGTGACAGTAACACACAACACACTGGTACATAAGAAAAACAGTGGAGTCAAGGGAAGCCATGCAAAAAGGAAAACGACATGGTGGCAACAAGAAAGACACATGCATGCACAGATAATTATGCGGACTAAGATAGATGGAAAAAAAAAAAACCAGTATCAACACCCGCAAGAAAAAACCATGAAGTCACGCAACAACAAGCAAAAGGAAAAAAAAAATGGTAGTTGGGAGAGAAGAAAGGCTCCAAACTCACCTTCTCACAGAGGGCAAGACTCGCCAGACTGGGCATGAAACCTCCTCCTCCATCACCTTCTCATATAATAGCAGGTAGGAGTCGGTGGAACAACTACGACGCCTTTCCAGCGCCGCCAGTTGCAGTAATTCCACACGAATATCATCGGCTATATGCCAAAGTCTTGACGGCTTGACCTCCGCCTTGCCAATGCTGCTGCCGGCGTCGTCAGGCTTGGGCGGCGGCCCTGGCTCAAGCCCGTCCGTAGCAAACTCCGTGACATAATGCCCGGCAACTGGACAGGAACCGATGTGCCGCACCACGCCCCGTAAACGATAAAGATAGCGGATGGCATTTATATGCGTCTTGGCGTCGTCCCCTGCCTCTTCCTCTGCCTTCTCATGCCGCTTGTCCACGCCTGAGTTATTGGAGTCGTCGTCTCCCTCCAAGGTTGAATTGGTGGACGGCATACCCGTCTCACCTCCCTCGTGCTGCTGGTTCGGTATTACGTGTCGCTCTCTTTCTTTGGCCGCACGCTCCGCCCCTCGTACGCAGGGCGCCAACTGCTTCTTCTCACCGTCAAATTGTCCTTCCTCACGCAATGCAAAAAGTGTAAGCTCTTCATTGATAAAAACAGGCGTTTTGTTCTTTATCACATGCACACCATTCACTGGGTCGTAGTTCGTGGAATACCGATTCAGTTGTATTGTGAGAATAGGTGGTAACGGGCCCAAGAGACTACCGCCTTGATTTTGCTTCTGTGTGGAGCCACAGGCGTCACAGACGTACCTGTCAAGCGGCACATATTGAAGGGTTTGCTCTAATAATGTCTGGACGTCGTTGTCAACATGTTCGCCCGGATTACTTTTAAAGATTGCTGAAGGCAGTGATTCACGGACTGCCTCCTTTGGTGGTGTACAGGGTCTGCCGCCAACAGCTTCACCCAATGCTGAGCCGCCGTTGTCCGCAACAAGTGGCTGAGCCAGCAACGTAGCGCCTGCCTCGGTGGATTCTGTCTTGCTTAGATTTATACACAAGTTTACATAGGGATCTTGGGTGGCAATTTCATGCTTACACGCCTCGTTCCCGCAGCGAATAATGTTCAGTAGGTTCCCTCCAAAAAGTCTGTTAATCCAGACACACGATGGGTGAATGATGGAAGCGTCTTCGCCGCCCTTTCCGTCAACCTGGTTGCCATCGTTGAACAACATGTCCGCCTCCGCCTCCGTCTCTGTTTGATTCTTTTCAAGACTATCCTCATGTATTCCATTCCTGCGCTTTAATATTTCTATTGCCTCCTCCTCTAGCTTTTGAATGAGATCCAAAAAGAATTCGTGGGCGTCCTGCTGTTCCCCGGAGAAGAATGATGTGGAAAAGAACCCACGCAACGGAGTCATGTCAATTCCATACCCGATACTTTCCGGCTTCTGAAGCAAGCGGAGAAAGTGTAGTAGTACTTCATGGATACTTGTAAAAGAAGTCTCCTGTCGCTGTTGGAACTGTATGGAAGGCCAGCTTGTATGCACGTTATTCGGGTCGTAACTTTGGTTATCATTGGTACTATTCCTGTTAGCGGAGTCACTGGGCTCACGCCTAGGCGCGTCACACAAGGCGTGGCAAAACTTAGGACTGCGTAGCAGTAAAGTCAAAACACTACATGCGTAGCAATCATTACGAGGGTTTATGAATCCGCTGCAATGACGCGAACCAAGGCTGAGCGACGGTGACCCATAAGCTCCCCATGATGAATTAAGGAGCCAACGCGATGTTTTTGCACAGCTCGCTGAGGAGAAGTCAGGTCCCTTTTCTGTATCGGAAGATAATGAAAGAGGCTGGTAGGTCTTTCTTCTGACATCGCAAGCCGCTTCTTCAGCATGCGATGGCGGCACCGCCGCTACTGCATAGGGAGCCTTCCCGGTGTAAGCAGGCGCCGCCCAAGCCACGCTTTGTGGGGGCTCACTTGCAAGACGGTACTGTCTATATGGACTAAGAGAGTGCGGGGAAACTGCAGCACGTAGCGGCGGAGATGCCCCTGGTGTTTTTACAGTTTCCCTCTCCGCTGGTGTTGGTGGTGGTGAGCCGGGTACGTGTTGCTTAGCCATTTTAACTGGTGACGTCGTGGGATGCGCTGTACAAGGCGTTGAGTTCTGCGTCAGTGAAGTTCCGGCACTTTTGTAAGCAGGAAACAATGAAGCCGACGCCGTGGAATTGTTGTTGTTAATGGTGGTGGAAAACGCCTGTGTTTTTTGTCCGCACTCCTCACCTGTAGCTACCACCCGTTTGTTTGCTTCAGCGTCGTAGGGGTCGGCCATGATTGCGTGGTTCCGGCTTGTTTTCGACAAGGAGATGCCTGCGGTAGCTGGTTCATGGCCATCGAAGTGCTTTGCTGGTGGATGAAGCCCCAACGTCAAGGAAGACCGCCTCCATGACAAAGTTTCCTTCAGCTTTGAACTAATAGTGGGAGCCGCGTAATGACTCCCCCTCATACGTGTGGTGCATGGGGAGTTGCCCCCGTTCGAGTTACCTAAGCACGGCGCCGCATACCGTGACGCCGTCTCCACCGCCCCACCGCCTGCCACTGGACTTTTCTTCTCACTCACCCCCAACAGACTGCGACGCGCCGCAGGTGAACCTGTTGCCCGCGTCAGACTACTTCTTGTATCACCCTTTGCAGGCGAAGTCGCCTCCAGTCGAATCTTCTTCGGTACAGGCGAAGTTGTCAGGCTTCTGGACGCTGACGATTTCCGTTTCCGCGACTGTCCACAGGCCATACCATTGCTGCTGCCTTTGAATTGGTGGCGCTGGTGTGGTTGTTTGGTGCCTGTCCCCACTCCGCAAGAATTGCCGCCGTCGTTGGCCCTCTCAATTTCTTTTGTGTAATCCCCATCCGAAGAATCACCATCACCCACATCAGCGCGGGAGTGGCTGCGCCGTGGAGGGGTGGTATAATTTCCATGAGCGAGAGGGAAGGCTTGATTGTGCTTCAAGTACCCATTGTCGCCATTTAGTGCATAACTGTTGTCTGTCTCCGTGCGCAACTTCTCAGCCTCCAGCACCTTTCTACCATAATTCATTGGCAGTAGTTATGGGTATATATATATATATATTGTTTTTCTTGTTTCTTTTATTTTGAGTTGATGCTGCGGCTGCTGTGTTCCTCGCTTTTTCAAAGCCCACTTATTGCCGTTTTTAAAGTTTTCCTCTACCACTTCACTTATCTCTTTATGTCTTTTCTTCCACCTTTTTCTTTCTTCTCCCTCTTTGGGTATTGTTTCGGGTTTAGGCGTGCGTTTATGCGGCGGAAGGTGCGCGCTCTCCTTTCCGTCTTGAGCGGTGTCTCCGTGTTGCGGCTGCCTTAGTCGTCGTCCTGCCTGCTGTATGGGGAGAAGTGATGTATGCCCCGCTCCTTGCAACGTTTTTGGCCCCAACACACAGAGAGCAGGGATATAGGTAGTTATACACAATATAGGTAGGAATGTATGAAGGTATGTATGGATAGATGGATGTATATGGAAGCGGATTGGTGCGTGTGGAGCGCAGAGTACCGTCTACGCCGTGTTGCAAAGCAGTAGCAGCCCCCTTTCAGCGGATATGCGTGTGTGTTTGGGCCTCAGCCACTTGCGGCCGACTTCGTCTGTGCAACGGCGTCCCCCACCAATGCGTCTCGTCTGCCCCGCAGCCAAGCAGCTAAACCTCGCTTCGCCTTTGACTGGATGCAGCTATGCGTAGGACTCCACCTGCGCCGGTCTGCTGATTCCGCCCCGCTCACTCCCCCGCCTCGCTCGTCGCTGCTATCACCCCTACGTCTCTACGCGCTCCTACCACCAGCAGCCACAGAACAAAAAGGAGAGCGTGGGAAAAAGATTAAGCAAGACACAATGGTCTCCTGTAGACTCATGTGAATGAGGAGTGCACAACAACAGACGCCAAAATAATAATAATAAGGACCATGACACTATGACAGTCAGTCATTCCTGTTGCTTCGTTCCCTTTTGCTTTTGTATCCCCCACTTCCTCTCTTGCAATGGTCCTCGTGCCTCTCTACCCGTCGGGCCTGCTGTGCATGCAGGCCTGAACGTACGCACACAAGGGGAAAGAGAAGATATGTATGTATGTATGTATGTATGCAATGTCTCAGGTACAAGAAAACCCCTCACCGCTCACACTTGCATCTATCGGCGCAAGGGAACTGCGCATTGTACCATTGCCGACATTACCACTAGTCACGATATCGTTGTCATCGTCGCACTCGTCACCATCGCCTGAGAGAAAGGTGCTCATCTGCAGATTTAGCCGCTGAAGCTCAGGAGGGATATCGTACGGAATGGCTTGGTGCGTAATTCGCTTAAAGAAGTAGGCGTAGCTGATGGCGTTCAGCACCTCCTCTTTGCTGTGCAGCTCGACGTCCACGCAGCACACCAGCGTCGCCTTCGCATTGCCACCAAAAATAGGACGCAAAAAACGTACCAAGCAGTTCGTATGCGAGCTAGGAAGCTGATCAAACGCCGCCTCAGCACGTGCAGCGGCCTTCTGGCCTGCAGCGGGCGTAACACTGGAGGTGGCGGCGATGGCGTCACACACCGCCTGCAAGGATTCCTCCACCCACTGCGTCTCAGGCTGCATTGGCTGCATTGCCGGCCTTGCGCCTTCTGGTGGCGGACCGCATAGATCGACAAACGACACCAGCGAGCGCCGGTAGTGCCCCTTCTCGTTGAAGCTCTCCACGCGCAAGGAAAAGATGGCGTGCGACACCCCACCACAGTGCGCCACAAAGGCGGCATCGTCCTCGCGGCATTGCCCACCCGGGTTATTGTTACTGCCTCTGCCGCCGCCCGCCGGCAACCAGGACGAAAAGCTGCGCCGCCAGCGCCCGAAACGTTCAAGTCCCTCAAAGAACACACGAATCACGTCTTCAGCAGTTTCAGCACGCACAGCTGTGACTTCTTCACCCGTGCCGCTGCTGCACGACAGCGGCGCAGCAAAGGAATCACCCGCCGTGGCGGAGGTGAGTTTCACCAGCGTGGTGTTATTCGCGCCACCGCCAGACATGGGCCGCCCCGGCTTCCGAAGAAGAAGATCGACTGTCTGATTCATGGCGAGCTCCAGAAAGCTGCAGGAGATGCTAAAATGAGTCACGGCGTGTTCAACGAGGCCGTTAAAGAGGCCGCACACAAACAGTGACAAGAGACCCGCCGTTTTCTCACAACCTCGAAGCGATTTGAATGACATATCTGCAGACGGAGCCCGTTCATTACTGGCGGAACGACGTAAACGACGAGTAAAGCTGCGCTGCTGCCGCTGTTGTTGTAGCATGCCGTTCTGAAAGATGGCGGCCCTGGTACCAAACAGAGTCTCCGTCTTTCCACCCCCAGCGGGACCAAAGGAAAGAAAAACCAGGTTCGCTCCCGAGAGAGCATCCGCAACGGCGTGCTCTACACGAATGGCAGCAGCAAACTCCTCATCCGGCATAAAAGTTCGCGGTATCATGTCATCCGTATTTGAAGCCGTACCAGCAGCCCCGGCAAGTGCGGCTTCCGACTGCATCCGTCGCCTAAGCGATGTCACTGTGTACGCCGCGTCCACCACAAACGTGCGTCGTCGGTCCAAATCCACCACTGTGCACTTATCTGTCACTGCAATATTTGCCCCATGCCTAGTTTTCTCCTTCTCGCGTTGAGGTTCCTGCTGCTGAAGATGACTGTCTCGCGCTGCTTCCTCCCACGCCGGACCACTGTCACGGGCCGCAGGAGCAGCCACCTGCACCACAACACGTTGACCCCCCTTCAACTCCGCTAGTGTGTTTGCATAGCGTTTCTGCAGCAACTGCGTCACCGCAAACTCCTCCGCCGTGTGCTGCAGACAAAGCTCCGCCTCGCTGTGCTGACGATCTGCGACGTTGGCTTTTTCCTCCACAAGCTGCAGTCGTCGGCGAAGCTCGTCGCGCTCAGCGAATACTGCCCGACGTAACGAGCGTAACTCCTTCAGTGCGTCAATCTGCTGCCGCAGGACCTCGCCAAGCCGGCAGGTCTTGCGTGAGACAAGAGCGAGTTGGTGCTCTGCTGCCTCATACATGCCTCGCCTTCCGTTGACCTGAGTATGTCTCCTCTCACCGTGTCTCCTGCCTTCTCTCAGCCACGTCAGCCCCACCCTCTTTCGTTTCCCAGATTGTGTGTGGTGGTTTTGTGTGGGTGCTCCCAGGCAAAGGAAAAGAAGACGACAAAAAATCACAATAATAAAGTGTGGATACAACGAGCAAAGAAGACACGTGGGGAAACACAACAATGGCCCTCCAAAGAGACGAAGATAAGCAGCTGAAATAATGGACAGAGACATGAGCGTAGGAAATCCATAAGGAAACGGCAGTGTTGACCCCTCCAGCAGAAACAAGCAAGAGATAGAGAGAGAGAGAAGAAAAAAAAATGATAATGAGAGGGAGAAGAATGCTGGGAAAGTGGGGCAACATCACAGTGACAACGCGGAAGGCACTCACAGCGGCAGAAATAAAAAGTAGAAAGGGGCAAAAGTAGTCCAAAACAGAAAATGTAACAAAAAAAAGAAAAAAAACAGAGAGGAGGAGAAAATGAATGAGAGGCGTTCACATGTATGGCAATACACATGTGCATACATGAATAAATGTAGATATTTCAACTGCTTGTAGACAAAAAAAAAAAGGGAAACGGTACGTACAGAATCTTGGAAAAGGCAAAAAAGAAAGAGTGACACACCCGCACATATATATATATATATATACAAACGGGCATGTAAAAGATACTTCTTTTTGTTATGCAATGTTGTGCCCAGTCACATCGGCCATTGGCCTCCCCTCCCCCCTCCTCCTCCTCTCCCCTTGTTGTGTTATATGTGCCTCTCTTGTGTGGGTTGTGGTCGTTGCGGATGGGCGCCAACAAGCTCTTCCCCCCCACACCACCTCCCTCCGCTTGTTGCCTGCAGATGTGTGTGTTTGGTGGCCGCCGCCACCCCTCGCCC